TTTAAATAAGCAGTCTTTTAACTTTACCGTTATAAATTTATGATGAAAACAACTTGAATTCACTAGGTATTAAGCGTAACCTTTTTTTTCTCGGCATGTGCATCTGGTTTTTGTTGGGGAATGGATACTAGCGACACCTTGAAGAGTTGAATTCTAGTTAAATGCACGAGAAAAACGTAGCTATTCAGAGACGTCTTTCGTATTATTGAATAACAACTGCATTTGGGTTTTAGTAACACCCAACCTTGACTTAGACTTTATATAAGGTCTGGTCCGCCATTTTATTGATATCTAGATTTGCTATTTGAGGTTGTTGATTGTTGATTTGTAGAAAGGATTTTACTCTTTATTTGATGTATTTTTTAAAATGTTAAATCAATTGGTTTCTTTCCAAATTTGATATTGTTACAGTCTATACCATAATCTCCCCAACGACCAATGCCTATTTCTAGTTACAAAATGGGAAGGCGATTCCATATCAAAACCAAACCGGCTGTTACGTTTTTGGATCTATTGCATTACAATATTTCATTTTCTCACAATTTCAAAGTGACCAACTATAATCAGATATATAGTTTTCTTCGTACAAATGTCTTTAACCAAACATTTAAAACCAAAATTAACCGAACTGGTCCAAGGCATCATAATTTCAAACGGACTATTTTCCTTCCCAAAACAATATCACACTTTTTTAGGGGTACATGAAACCCAAAACTATATTTCCCCAAGTGACAATACCTTTTTTCCTCCCAAAAAAAAATATGACCATTTCATATACAACACTCCCAAGGGATGTAAAATCAATAATAACAACCACAAGGGTGGTGTTTGATTGATTTGAGCTTGACTTCAAAGATCAAAAGTACCTGGAGGTCTCAGGTTCAAATCCAAGGAGAAATAAAAAACCTATTGTGGCCACGGAGGTTTAAATGCGGTAACTCCAGGCTATCTGCAAAGCAGGTGGTCGCCCTGTGGATTAGTCGGCTCGCTTAGCGGGTTGGATATCCATGTTAATAAAAAAAAAATCAATACTAACCTAAATCATAAGATTCAAGTCTCAAAATATCAGGTGTCTATCAATGATATACTTTTATAACATATAAAAAATCCCCATGCATTTACTCTGTGAAAAGGGTAAAAGAAAACCCCCAAATCCCTCATAATACCGTAATGTGTAAAATGCATCAAGAGGGATGTTTTAATAAACTAAAATATAATATCTTGACATGTAAAAAAGTTCGGGAAATGTTAGAATGAACTCACAATGCTTGGTTTTGGTTAAAAAAAAAAAAAATTCTAGAAATAGTGGTCAGATCTTGAAGCTTTGAACTCTAAACTTGAACCTTCTAGCTTAGGAACTCCTAAATAAATGCCTTGGGAGAATATGCAATGTAGCTTTGAATGCTTACCAACCGGAGTAAATGAGAAAATGATGAGTTAGCTTGAGAAAATAATGAATCCAATTGCTGAAAAATCGTATTTAGAATCTGTCACCATCTCACGACCCGAAGATCGCGGGGCATGGTTTCCTTTGTCCAATAGCCTGCCCATCCATTGACTTGTGCAGCTTGTGTTGCGGCTTAAGCACTTACTTGATAAGTGCTTACCGGATAAATTTCCTCATCGGATGAACATGAGAAGGGCCAAGAGTCTTATCGGGTAAGAGCGATGAGAAGAAATGGAGATTCTTACCCGATAAGTGAGGATGATGACTTTTACCCAGGTAAGCGCTTACCCAGTAAATTGTTGCATTCGATATGTTTTGATGTACTAAATTCTTACGCATCAAAATAAATGATAGTGTTGATTCATATCAATAAACGCTTACCGAATAAGTATTTGGATAAACGGCTCCAAAACATGAATAAGACTTGTGAGTTTAAGATAATTTCACTTAAAAGGGTTTTGGTAGAAATCTGTTTTTGCAAATGAATAAAAACATAAATATGATTAAAATGATGTAAAGAAAAGGTTTTTGTAGTCATGTGATTATGAAATGTATTTTAGTAAAAGAAAAGAGGACCACGTTTGTACGATTGTTGTCTCCCCACCCTTTCTCATGCCACGTGTCGTTCAGGGTTTCTATTTTCAGACGGGCCACTTCCTCTCTTTGCTTTCTTTTCTCAAATCCATTTTATATTTAACCTCTCAATTATTACTACTCTTTTTTTTATTTATATTACCAGATTTTCTGAGTATATCAAGGGAGTGTCTGGGATTGCTTATTAAGATAACTTATGTTTTTTTTATAAAAATATTTATTAACTTATGTGGTATTAAATCAGAAATTTTTAAAAAATATTTGGATTAGTTTATAGCAGTATCAAAAAGCAATAAGCTGATAAGTTGTTTTTTTAGTGTTTGACAAATTTTGTTTATATATGTAAAATGACCAAAAAAATAGTATTCAATATTATTGACTTATGAGAGTGTTTGAGATTGTTTGTTAACTTATTTGATTTATTAACATGTAAAAATTTATTTTTCATCATTTATAATAATATTTTTGACAAAAAAAATATATCAATTAGATTAATAGTTAACAAATAAGTCATAAAAGATTAACTTATCAAAAACTGCTTATTACCGGTTTGGCACCGGTATAAGCAATTTTATTTTTCCTCATCCAAACAGTAACATTTAGCTTATCAACGGTGCCAAACTAAAATAAGTCAAAAAACACCCCATAAATAACTTTTTATATCATTTTAAATAATTACTGGTTCATACCAATTTATAATTCTACGTCTTTTTAAAAAAAATTGATTGTTAACAGAACCAATAACTTTTTTATATGTTGACATCATATAATATAGACAAAAAATTTAGAAAAAACATGGTTTTTATTGACTTTTTCATGTTTTTACCAACGTTCAATACTGACCGATACGTTTTTAGCCTAATTCTACTGTTTTTCGAGGGATTTTTAAAGTTTTTTTTTTTTTGTTTTCTTGATTTCAATGAATTTTTTGGTTTTTTTTTATCGATTTCAAGAGACTTTTTTGGTTGATTACGAGATAAGATTGCATTTTCTTGAACTTTTGAATATTATATGGTTAGACCGTTGATGCTTAAGACTGTCTCGTATTTATGCAAAGTGTCTCACTCTTTTGTAAATTAAACCATACACCAATAAATGATTTTACGTATTTAATATCTTATAAGAATTAATATATGGATCTTGAATGCATAAAAAATAAAAGGAAATAAAAACAAAAAAGGGTGGATATTTGAGCGTAGGGAGGGGGAGAGAAGGGTAATTTTGAAGAAGCGACAGGAAAAGGGTGGAGCAGAGGGAGAATGCAGGAAATCTTGCTTTTTTGGGGTTATTTTAAGATACAGTATGGTCCACGGGTATTAATGTATGTAGCCACCTGCATGCGATTGCTGGCCCCTCCAAGGAAGGATATTAATGTCTTTCACACATCCCATCCTCCATCATTCATCACTACTATCCTTAAATAAATATTTCATTTTTATACCTTTTCTTTAATTCAAATATAACATCTTATAAATTAACCATCAATATCATATATATATATATATATATATATATATATATAACAAGTAAAATCTAATAAATATTTTAAATATAGTTTTAAAACCTTATTTTCAATTATTAATAGGTTGTACTTACGCACAATTTACTTGTAATCTCAAATTTTAAGTAATATGCATTAATAAACAGTATTTCATGTATAAAAAATGATTTTTAAGAGTTATTGTCAAATACTTTATAATACAATATAAATATAATATATATATATATATATGTGTATGTATGTATGTATGTATCGCATTGGAAAGTAGATATTGTACATAAAAGAAAGTGTGACGAAAATGTGTTGGGGGATTATAATGGTTGACCATCCCCACTATTAACACGATGTCTCCTATCTCCACCTCTATAGCTTTTGTTCCCATAACTCCATACATCTCTAACTCTGCATTACAACTACTATTGTATGCATACACGATTTTAAAACAACAATATATATATATATATATATGTGTGTGTGTGTGTGTGTTTATCATTTCAATTTTACAACTTTCTATTGTATCAAGTACATACGATTTAAAACAACACGTACATCATTTGAGCAAGGACGAGCATAAATTTTTAGGGAGGAAGGTTGATTTTACAAGGGAATGTTTAATCCTATCGTGAAGCCCTATTTGTGGCTAACCGATGTTACGGTTTAGTGTGAAATGGCTCGATAAAAGGTTGAACGACGAAAGGTTGAGTAAAGATTTCTCAGATTGCCTTATACCCGTGAATTTTTTTGGTAGAGAAAACCTACCTAAAGCCTCTTTTGAGTTCGGACTAAAATTTCGGAGGAGAGTTGGTGCCGACGCTACCGTTGTTGGAGTGGGGCGAGTCACTAATAATAAGGTTTAGAGATTGGAACACCTTGACCGAATATGTACATGTCTTGGTGATCAACTACCATGGATTCTTGAAACACTGTGACTTGGTAAATAATGAATATATATATATATATATATATATATCACTAATAATATTTTGCCATATTATTTTTAGCTGATATTGTATGTATTGTTTATTTTAAAAATTAGAAAAATTAGTTGAAAATAAGTTGAAATAGTAGATTGACTTATAAAAAATTATGTCAAAATATCAAACGAATCCGGTATGAGATAAACTAACAATGCTATCAAATGGACATTATACATTGACTTGCATTAATGACAACATCTAATATGCAATGAATGATGGGATCAAATCGAATCGAATCGTACCGAATGTACTTAAATCGATTTGATTTCAACTAATGAGAAGAGTTCTAATCCTACCAAATATAGGAGTATATATATATAAGTTTAATTTACCAAATATAAAGTATTATAAATTGAAAGAAATTAACTAAGTGAAATTGAATTGGTAAGCCCAATGGGCTACATCGGCCCATTTGTAATGGAGACAACTTTCCTTTTTGGTAACAAGACATTTAAGATGGTAAAATATGTAGTTTAAAGTCGTACTTTCTACGCTACGCTACTAGTAGGGGTTTATAGATTCTCTAACCTCAAAAACCCTAACTTCTAAAATTACCCCTAAAAATGGAGAAATCTGAAGCTGTTTGCGCACAAGAAGCATTGGAATTGCTTAATTGTGTCACCAGTTCATCTTTCGATCAAGAGAAATGTATCACGCTCTTGAATTCCCTACGGAAATGCGTCCTCGACAAGGTAAAATGTAATATCTCTTTTAAGTTTTATGGAATAGAAATTGGATTTAGATTACAAAATTTCAGCCTGATTTCAGGATTTTTGGGTGTTTAGGTATGAGTTTGATGTGGTTTTTTTGGTTATTCAGACGTGAGCTTTGAAGATTCTTCTCATTACATGATTAATCAAAACTCGACAAATAGACCAGAGATTGACATAATCTGTTTTCGTTATATTTTTGCTTTGATATCGTTTCCTGATTCTAACAATTGAATCATTGTGGTTTTGAACACCATATTTGGTTTTGTTTATCATGATCGCCATTAAAATGGTATCAGTACTGTAGACCAGAGGCATACGAGTGACATTATGTATACAGTTTTTACTGATTCAGCACTTAAGTTAGGGGCTGTTCGGTAGGAGCTTAATGTGCTGTATAATGGATATGGCTTATTCGCACAGCCATATCCAGTTGTTCGGTATTGGCTTATTCGCACAGCCATATCCAGTTGTTCGGTATTGGCTTATTCGCACAGCCATATCCAGTTGTTCGGTATTGGCTTATTCGCTCAGCCCATGGCTGAACCAGTCAGCTGAATTAGTTATGTCCTTTGTACTCAGCCATCTATTAATCCATTTATTCCCCTTCTATCCTTTCCATCTTTCATCCCCATCCCTCTTCCTTCCCCATCTTACAAGACACCAAACATAAGAGAATCCCTATCACGAGCTTTACCACTCTCTCTAGGTTACCATTACTTGAAGAAACCTAGCTGCTCCACCAGCCTGCTTCTGCTCCAGCTGACTAACGCTTCTCCTCCGTCGATCGCTTCTACATCGTTCTCCACATCAATTTTCTGCTCCATCTTCTTCGTTCTGTTACCTATCGTCATCGATTTTCTGCTCCATCGTCTTCGATCTGTTACATATCGTCATCGATCTTGTGCTCCATTACATACCGTCATCGATTTTCTGCTCTCGATCTGTTAGAAAGGATTTGTACAGAACCAGATGTTTGGTTTTCAAAACCCACAAGGATCTGTTGTAACCTCTCGATCTGTTGGTTTACAAAACCCACATGTTTGGTACGAATATGTTGGGAAGCATCATTGACTATTTGTGATTATAAATCATCGTTCAACATTTTTGTAATATTGTTGTTTTATTCGGACAAAAATAAAGACTGGGGATAAAATGGTCATTTCTGACATTCAGACTGTTTATTCAGCACAACAACCGAACAACAACTTATATGTTAACTTACAGACAACTATATCCATACAGGTTTTAACAGAAAACGAACCGAACAGCCCCTTACTTCTACATGAAGTAAGAAGTGTGCAATCATGTTTGCATCCGGTAAGCAATCTTGTTAAAATTGGGTTGAACAAAATGATCGGTGATGATACCATTAATAAGATCCAAAATGAAACTGTAGTGGTCTTATTGTTCAAATCAATAAACCAACTGACCATATAGGTTTTAGATGGTTGGTAAATCAAAATGTTGATTTGGGGTTTTCCCATTTTTCACTTGATACATACCGAAATTGACTATAGTTCAGTTTCAATGCAAGGATGTCTTCCAAAATCCGTCCATGAAAGCTCGCGAAAGAGGATGTCCTTTGTAGGATGGTCTTTCATCGACCTGCTTGAATAATCATCAGACATTCCTCTACTTAATTTGTTGCAAAGGTTGGTAGTGTAAATATTATGTTGCGAGTTAGTAGTTGGTGTGTTTAAGCTTCTGCTATGTTGGAAATCTTTAGGTATCACCAATCAGGTTTTTTTGGTTCAAGGTGAGGAGCATATTTAAGAACATTTGAGAGCGAAGTAGTTAATTTTGTCCATATTGTTATCATATCTTGTGTTGGACCTGTGATGTTACATTTTTTCCTTATCTTCATATTTTACTTTGGAACAGTAGAAAAGGATAAAGACTCATGAAAATAACCAGAGAAAACTCTCAAGGAGGAGCTTTTATTAAAATCTACTCAGCTGAATATTCAGCATAGACCTTAAGGGTTTATATAGGGAAACTTAATAAACAAGGGAAACTAAAGTAATTAGGAAAGCTGAAAGCATTAAAGTAGTAATTAGGAAAAAGGAATAGATCCAGTTGACGTCCTCCTAAGTCGCGTTGTTGGTCGCGGGAATGCCCAGGCCTCGAGTTCCAGTTGCGGGACAAGTCGCTAGGTTTTCTGTCTCAGTCTCCAGAGAGTTGAGTGACCTTCCAGGCAACTTCCACCTGCCAGGAGGCTGGGGGAGGCTCTGTTTTGCGTCGTTCGATCTGCTCTTCGATCTTGTTTGCTAGCTACTCTACATCATTTTATTCATCATTCTAATTTAAAAGCATTATGATTCATATGTGACAATTGGAAGCCCTTTGGCTAGATGTTTGAAGTAGATGGATATTTGGAAGTTCTTAAATGATCTTTCCGTGTGATTATTTTCATTTTCGTGGTTGACAATCTCTGTCCTTTTACCTCATGTATCTTTTTTTTTCTTTTTACTGTACAGAAAGTGAAAAAGTTCTCACTGGCAGAAGAGAAAACCGAGGAGATGGGTAAAAAACAGGCCTGATCTCTAATCTTTAACTGACTTCAGTTTCACAGTTATGAATGATTTTTGAGCATTGTATTCAACATGTAGATCAACATATAACTTGAGATTTTGGACACATGCCACAGTTTTTGGCTATACACATGTTGAAGCTTCTACTTTCACCTTTTTGTTTCTATATATTATATTATATATACTATGGATTCCATATCTACACCATCTTATACAAGACTCTTGAATTCAGAGTAAAATCTATGAAACATCAAGTACAAATCATTAATATGCTATGAATTATGTTGTGGTTTGTAAATTGAAAGCATGTAAAGATTCGGAGCAGGCTGAGTCCAAAACTTTTGTTTCAAAGCACCCCCAATGCACTTTAAATATTTTATCAAAATGTACTATTTTTGGAGTTGATTATTTGCAGGGTCGGGTCGGGTCGGGTCGGATACAATCTATTCTTTTTATCCGGAAGGCTTTATATAGCAAACTCAAGCTTATTTTTGTGGGTTTGATAACTTGTCATCCTATAAATGGGTTTTTAAAATATACAAAGCTTTTCCAGCTTAAATAAGACTTGGTACATGGCTTTAAGAAAAGGAATATTTTTTTATGAAATGTGGATTTAAACATAACCAGGCTGCGACATCGATTAGGGTGCGTTTGGTACGCAGACAGGACGGAACGGGACAGGACAGGACAGAACAGGACAGGACAGGACAGGACAGGACAGCTGTTCAGCGTTTGGTAAGACATGATAGGACTGGACAGAACGGGTTAAAATGACCAATTTACCCCTAGTGAGTCAATCCCATAATTCTAACCACCATGATCAAATTAATCTACCATCCTCCTAAACCCAATTGAGAAGACGACATCGGATTCTAAACCCTAAAAACTTCAACTTCAATCAATAGAAACAGCAAAATCGATTGAAATCCAGTGGCAAAATAATACAAAACAACAAATAAAATGTCTAATTTCATTAGCAGTCCCAAAATTACCATCAAATCAGACCATTACCACGAGAGTACGGTGATTAACCTGGCTAACGGAAAGGAAAGAACTTGAGGAGATTGCAGATRAAGCCGCCATTGATGAAACGACTAAYGCTTGGGGTTGGTGCGGGTCTAATTCGTATGGTAGCCACGAGTACTTGTCGATGAAGCTGCGTTTGGTGGGTCCGTTGCAAGGTCCGTTGGAAGGACCATCGGCGCTGACGTCAAGCTCCACCGCCACTGGAAGGACCTCGCTGGAAGGACCATCGTTCCTCACCTGATTTTGCAACCCGRCTTTGGCCAAGTCGATGCAGATGAAACCCAGAATCTTGATGCCGTCGCCGCCGGCGCCACCTGCTGCTTACCGGCRAAGAAAAGAAGATGATATACTTCCAACCCAGAATACTTCCAACCCAGAAATACTTCCAACCCAGAATCTGTTTCGAAAAAAGGAGATGAAATCGATGAGATTAAAGGAGATGAAATCGATGAGATGAAACCCAGAATCGATGAGATGAAGGAGACGGTGATGAAGGTTTTGAGAGGCACGATGATGAAGGTTTTGAGAGGCACGGTGATGAAGGCACGATGATGAAGGCTTTGAGAGGGTAGAAARGTCAAAAATTTCTTGTTCTAGTTAGTYCYATGGGGGAAGGGTGGACTCCCGTGTCCCACCCGTGTTCTATCTTGTTCCACTTAGTCCCACATAAAACCATACCAAACATGGGACAAATGTGTTCTGTCCTGTTCTGTTCCATCCTGTTCTGCCTACCAAACGCACCCTTAGAGATTGCGGACGTGGATTAAGGAAGACTGCAGTATATATGTGAGAAAATATGGAAAATTTTAAGATGTTACGCATTTTATTTTGAAGATCAAAAAGTCAAAATCTATGGAATTTGGAAATTGATTCAAAAATCATAAAAAAATATTAATAATAAAAATATAAACAGAGGTTCGTTCCATCAAAATTTTTTTAGAACAGTTATCCAACCAACCCTATTTTTCTAAGGGACCAGACATTTTTACGGACGTCCTCTTTATGAATAGCTCTACTTGTTTTTATCACAATGCAATTTAAATATTTGATTCTTCGGTTTTATGTTATTTTTATCATACAAAGATAAAGTTAACTATTTGTAAAGTCTTAGGGGGTGTTTGGGATTGCTTATTTAAAACAACTTATGTTTTTTTGTAAAAGTGCTTATTAACTTATGTGGTATAAAATCGGAGTTAAAGAAAACAGGGTTAAAATTGTAAATTGGTAATAAACAGTTTTTCACAAGTCAGGAAAGATTAACTTATCAAAAACAGCTTATTACCGGTTTGACATTGGGATAAGCAATTCTTTTTTTCTTATCCAAACACCAGAAAACAACTTATCACCGGTGTCAAACTGAAATAAGTTAAAAAACAATTTTTATAAACAATCCCAAACACCCCCTTAATGTAAATGGAGTGGCTTAAGAGATAAGTTCATGTGATTATCATAATTTTTTAATTGGTAGATTTTCTCTCTTAATGAATGTGTTACCAAAATCAACATAATAAAAAATCAAAACAACTCAACATAGTTTGTCATTTCATGTACAAATGTATGGACTTACGCATGCTTACAGTTGGTATTTTGTCCAAAGCATATATTAAAAAAAATTATAAGCAATTGCATTGATGTTTTATTATAGATACAGTAAAAATTTACATCTCATTACATCAGATCAAAGTTGTTAAAGGTTCAAGTCGCATTTTTACTTTGATATATATATAAACACACACACACAGAGTTACACACAACTCAAATATGCAACAAGTACAAGCCTCCAATATAGCAACCAACACTACTTCGATAGAGGCAAAAAGGAGATGGGTAAAATGCAGGAGTCGTGAGGGAGAAGTTTTAAGGTCTATGTATTTATAGAGAAAAAAGCTTGAAGTTCTATGGATTGAGTATTTGATATTAGGATTTGACTTATGTCATCTATTTAATAACTTTTTTTTAAGAAGAGATGAAAACATGAGAATACGTATTTAATATTAGAGTTTGGCTGGGTATTTATTAACTCTTCATGCAGCGCCTCAACAAGACATAATGTTTTAGTGAGCCTCGTGAATACGCCTAGCCTCGACTTCAAAAAAGCCAAAGAAGTTGAGCCTTATGAGTTATGAGCCTTAAAGACTAGGCTCGCCTCACGAGCACTTTTAATAATTATGCATTAGACACTTACGGGTCGTTTACTAAACATTTACATTGGTAAGCGTTTACTGGTTCAATTATCTTACCTGGTGAACATGACAAGTACCAAAAATCTTACCTGGTAAAAGGGAAGACAAGGTAAGGATCCAGAGTTTTACCCAGTAAGTGGTAAGCGCTTACCGGGTTATAAATGGTTACCATCAATCTATTTTGATGACAAGGAATGTTATCTCATAAGATAAGCAAAAGTGGTGACTTTTGACAGTAAACACTTATACGATAAACTTTTGGTAAACGGGTCCATACACAACACAACCTTAGAGAACTTGAAAACCAATGAATAGAGGGTGGTGAGATAAGAGGATGAAGTTGGATAGAAATAAGAGAAGAAATACATGGCACGTTAAAAATGAGAAAAGTATTATAGAATTGAAGAGGTTATGGCTGGKGATGTCACCTTGCTCATCATTCATTCATATACAACTGAAATTTTGCAGATTTATATGATTTCTGACCCTCACGCTTGTACTTGATACAAGAAGCTTAATATATATATATCTATATATACACACACACACACACAAAATCAACTCTTTTTCCTGTACTTCCTTCAAGATTCAAGAATCTCTCCAAAAACCCTCAAGAAACAACCATTGGGATGCTTTAACGTCTTCCATTTATTGAATGCGGTTCTATTGCAATTAATAGACAACCACACTTTAATTACATAACGGTACCACAAACTCATAATCAATCAGGTGATAAGGGTAGTAGAGGGAGAATCCAGGATGTGGATGACATATGTGAGCACCAAAGCTACCAACATCAATACATATGCTATTCCCTGATCAATTGATGTCCCTGAATCCCCCCAAACAAACAAACAAACAAAAAGTTAACAAAAATTAATACACCTAACTTATACATTCATTGTGCATCAAGAAAGATGGGTATACAACAATTGTGACTACTGAATTTATGAGGGCTGATTTCTTGCGGTCACAATTTGAACATAGCCTTGGACACCCTTCTAGAAAAAAGAAAGAAAGATAGGTGTAACATGTGCATCAACATCTAAGTAAATTAAAAATGGTAAAAAGTGTCCCAAATTGGCTAGACTAAAACCATTTCTACTTAATATATATTAGAACCTCCTCAATGACCGGCTCTTTTGAAGAGTAATACGATGCGATTATGTTCTACATATTCTTACAAAAAAAATAAAAAAAGATGGGTGTATGTGTGACATGCATTGTTTGGGCATCAACATTTGAATGAAAAACGTTAAAGAGACCTACATTGGCTAGATTTGATGCCTTGGACATTTCTCCTAAATATATGTTAATACTTTCTTCTATCCTCGATCACTCTTTTAAAAGTAATCTAATAGGTTCTACAAATTATTATGAACATCAAGAAATATATTGATGTAACATGCATTGTTTGTGCATGCTAATAACATCAAGAAAAATTAACATGATGAAAACAAGTCACATACAAAAGAATGCTTCATATTTACCTATATATCACTTATCATCAATGATTAGTTATAAAATATTAATCAAACAAGTATGGTTCATGATTTCTTCACTGTATGCCTTATGGGATATTCTTTCCTTGGCTTAAATGTTAAGGTATATATAACAGTTGCTTTCTAACATCACCATAAAAGAAAAACACGTAACAGTTCATCCATGAACCGAATTTGTCAACTACTAAACCAATATAGGCCATCAAAAGTTGCTTCAATAAAGAAAATCTACCAACGGGGTCATCTTCCTTTGACGACTTATTATTTCATCATGTAAATTGTTAAAAACAACATTATAATATGCAATGAACGAATACTTTTTGGACAAATCATAAAAATATAAATGCTTATAGACCAGGCTTTGATCCAGGTCTACAGCATATTTGTGAAAAGGTCACGCCAATAAATCAATCAAGGTGGAAAATCTGTCCGATTCATATGTTTTGCACATGAAATAGAAACACCAACAGATATGGATGAAGGATAAGAAAAAAAACAATGAATGTTGTATAACATTTTCATCTCCCCAACAATTTGTGAGATCTAGAAGAATGATAAGCAATTTGAGAAAAAAAAATGCATGGACATATGATCGAACATTGAGGAGGGAATTACAAAAACGAATTAAGATCTAGAAACTAACCGTCGCTGGTAGGAGCAGGAGCGGGGGCTAAAGGCTGAGCGTGAACTGCCGCCGGAAATGCGATGGCGAAAATGAGAGCCACACCAAACGAGAACTTGGATGTCGCCATTAATTATATTGTTATTTGATTTGAAGAAGTAATCGATAGATTCAGAAATGGATAGATGAAGATTGATTAAGATGTTTGAGAAGATGATCTATAATTGGTTGGCTCCATGTACATTATTGTTGCTCCTCCTGCTGCTGATTCGTCCGGTGGGTGTTCTTGTGAAATGATGGATCGGTTCAACTTAATAACCGATGCCATATAAAGTCACTTCTGTAATATTATTTTTATTTTTATTTTTTTTATATTTTACGATTAAAATAATCACGTTTAGAAAAACACGTAATAACAAATTTTTTTATGAGAGCGATAATAATACTTCTGAGTTTTTGAATCAATTATTTTTCTTTTTTATCTAATGACCAATAAAAATCGTAGACCCTCGTCTCCTTTAAGTCACATTTATGAACCTTCATGTACATTCTAATCGTTTATATGCATGACTTTGTTAATATTTTAGGCACAAGTAGGTAAATGAAGATGTGTGTGTGTGTGTTGGGAATTGGAACTTGCCAACTTGGCTTATTATGAAAAAACTTGTCCTACATTTGAGCCTCATGAAAATTACAATTATTTGATAAGGACCAACCGTGAGCATTAAATGAATCATTTAAAAGTTCAGGTTTTGGCATTTGGGTGTTCATGATGGCTTTTTCCACGACTAAAGTCATGCACCAGGTCACGCAACTCTATGTTCGTGCCTGGTAGTTATATCGGTCCAGGAGGCAAACGGGACAGGTCTTATTCTCATGCCTTTGCAAAAGTGGATAAAGATTGATGAAGGTAATGAATATAGATCACATGATGTCAACCTAATGAATGATATAAACCTTTTGCATGGCTACCTAAGGTTTGACTATAATTTGACCCACCCCGATCGTCATCTTCCCTCTCTCAAATTATACTAAGCTTTCCAACAAACGTTAATTGATTTTAGTATATGATACAAAAGCCAAAATGAAATTCAAGGAAGTGGTTTTGTGAGTTTGAATAGCTATTTGTAATTGCTAGTAAATTATCATACCCATAGTTAAACCATCGTGTTCTATTATTTATTTAATTGTATTTATGTTGTTATCATCCATTCATCATTTATTTGGGATCTTGAACACATGTGAGGTCCGATTTGTTCCACATTCATTTAGGGCCCGTTTACCAAAGTCTTACCTGGGTAAACGCTTACTAAGTCACATTACCTTACCGGATGAATATAATAAGAATCAAGAATCTTACTCGGTAAAAACGAGACAAGGATCAAGAGTTTTACCCGATAAGTGATGACCTGGTAAGCGCTTACCAGGTAAATTGTTGCATATGATATCGTTTTGGTGGACTAAAATCTTATCCAATAAGTAAATGATAGTGTTAAATTTTATCAGTAAGCACTTACCGAGTAAGTGTTTGATAAACAGCCCCTTACACTATTGATAAACCCTATTACTTGATTTTCTTTCTTCTTTTAAAATTAATTCTATCCATATCCCCCTCATATATATGGATAAGGTAGAAGGTAAGAAATAGGTGGTATGTGAATGAGGGGTATGAATAATAGCAACAGGATAAGTCAAATAAATTTCATACAAGATTAGAGTTTCGTAAAGAGCAAGGGGCTGTCTATCAAACGCTTACGAAGCATTGACCGGCGATAGCTATAGTTCACACTTACCTTATTGGATTACTCTCTCGGCCATTAAAATGAATAGTTGGTAAACGCTTCTTACCCGGTAAGCCTTAACCGGGTAAAAATCTTTACTTTCACTTACTAGATAAGATTCTTGATTCTTGATCCTTGTCATATTCTCAGATAAGAGAAGTGACTTGGTACAAACTTAACAGATAAGCTTTTGGTAAACGGCCCCTAAATATACAAATACCATTGGTGTTAGTCATATATGGAATCTGCAAAAACAAATCTTGAGAAGATAAAAGAGTATAGTTGATAAAACAAAATATGCAGAAATATACAAAATATTATGCAAAATAAAGGTTGAAGTTTAAAGGTGAAGAATGTAAAAGTCATGTGAGATGTAGGTTTGGCTATAAAGGGGTGAAACTATGAATACAAACAAATTCATTTGACTGCATCCAAATTAGGGACAAAATCAAAGGGAAAGAAAGTGCACAGATACCTAAAGAGGAAATACCAAAAAAGTTGAGAGACATAAACCATCAATCAATATCATCATCATCATCGTCATTATCATCGTCGTCGTCATCCGAAGCAATCTTTTGTTTTTTCCATTTGTATGCTTGCTCCAAGATTTTCAAATTGGATGCTTGTGATTCCTCTGGGAACAGGTAATCTATGTACTCCTCATACCTGCAATTTTCAAAATTATTTATGCGTTAGATTTGCGCCAAAAACTGAACTTACTTACAACCTGGATGTAAAAACGTTACATACTTCCTTCGTTTTATGAAAATGGTAAGAAAACTTCAACTTCAAATGACCTCTTGTCATCATTACTCACTCATTGATGCTAGTGATTTTGGCCCCCCTTGCTCAAGGGTATTTAAGGCATTAAATAAATGGTCAAACAGATTCATAAAACTATGCATCTTATATTCATGAGAAAAGTGCAATATAAACAGAAAATTTTAATTTTAAGCTGCAACTACAAGCCTGTTCCAGATGTGTGCTTCATCAAATAAATCTTTAGGCCAAGTTAGCATTGCAATAACAACCCAGCATTGTGGGAAGTTAAGATATAAATTTGGTACAAAATGTTCTAAATCTGACTATTATTCAGCTGGGGTTGCATGTTGTAGCTTTAGCTTCTCAATTTAAATATACATTGTTTGCAAAGTTTTTTCCAGCCACATAATAGAAAAACTATCAGGTCTCTTCACAGTGGTTCCTATAACCTAGCCAGCAGATCGAGTGATTGAAAAGAACTTTGCAGAGAGTTGATCTTGGCTGCAGACGATGGCTATGTTTGGCATAGTAGCTGATAAGCTAGTTGATGGCTAATAAATTTAGTAATGTTTGGTAAAAACTAGTTGATAAGCTAAATAATAATGTAAAATGACTCAAAAAAACAAATTTGAAATATAAATTAAAAAATATAAGGGGTATATAGGAAAGAAATTGTACAAAACCCCTGGAACGTTCCAGAAAGCTATAGCTTTATGGTTAACCAACGGGACTTTTTCAATAAGCTAGCTTCGTCTTGGTAGGTGTATTATTCTACATTTTACAATGAAATGAATTTTAACTCTGTAAAACCTAATTATGCAAAGTCTAAACATTTCAACCTTAAAAAAGATGAATAAACTCAGGAAGTAATGAATCAAAAACAGGTACTGAGAACACATGCAATATGGCAAATGAAAACATAACAGAACCATAATAACAAGTTTATTGACGTACCCAGCTGGACCGTCGTCTATTTCTATCTGCCTTCTCTTCTTCAGTTTCTTGGGCAGCTTAACACGGACCAGTTCGATGTCACCCAGCTCACCAAAACTACTCTCCATGTTCAACCACTCTTCTAGTAACATGGCCCTTTCCTCTTTCAGCTCAGGGGATGATGTCCTATAGTAGTTGATTGCATTTTCAAATACTCCTGACAGAAAAGTAAAATAAGAACTATGAGAATCATAACCATTTTGATATCAGGATCATTACTGAAAAAGAATTGAGAAACTGAGGAACAAAATTAGATGTTTACTTCTGGCACGTTGAATGCAAAGTTGTCTCTGCTCTTGAAGGACATCTTCGGGTAGGTCTTCATGTTGTTCTTCCTCTTCCATGGCAGATGCTTCAAACTTTGCATAGCTGATCCATACCTTCAAATGCTTTGTACGATCCAAAAGTCTCTCGTATAGCTGTCTAGTTCTTTCAAATTCTCCTTCTGCTATCTCGAAGTCAATATATGCCTGTAAAGAAGAAAGTGAAGTTTAAATCCTCTACAATTATAGAGTACATGCAATTTCTGCATAACCAATCAATTGATCACCTTAATTTTTAGAACCATGACCAGACTTAGATATCCAATTGCTAATGGCACACAGATATAAATTTGGATTACCAAGACAGGCGCTGTACCACATTGTTCAGTTATCTCATCTAATAACCATTATGCAACTCAGAAGGAACTTAACACCAAAAACTGCATTGCTTCATAATTGTAGCCAAATATTACTCAAGTATCAAATCAACAAGTAATCAACACGCATTAAATAGATACCTAATTCATGATGTCCCAAATATTTCCAACATTTAAGCAACATTGCATGCTTGAAATATGGAATACACACAGTTCTTTAGAGCAAATAGATATATCAAAGAAGTGATAAGAAGTTAGACCATCTACACCTCTGAAATTAAAAACCACTTTCAAATGTGTCACATTAGCTTTTGCAATTGCTCTCTCAGCACCCCCGCAATTGCAAAAAAGTGGTCTACATTGCCACATCAACAACTTTATAATTTATAATATATATTTTAAACATTTATAATTTAATAAGAAAAAGATATCAAATATAATTTCTTTATTTCAAGTTAATAAAATTAAGAAAAACATATATGCATGATTAGAAAAGTTAAATAAAGATGCAAAGTGAACATTATATTAATCATCAATTGCTACCCGTCCAAATATATAAATTAATAAAATACAAGGTTGTGGGTCCACTATATGATATGGCACTTTCAAGATGAATTTCTAATAGTGAAAGGGGAGTGGTGACATGGCAGTTTTGCAGTTGCCTTGAAAGTCCTTTGCGGCTGCTCTTGGATATCATATCACATTGAATAAGCATAAACAAATTACAGCATTTCAATTAGTTGCTATGAACCAGTAATACAACGTGATAACTAGTTCCTTTCAAGATACATTGTGTTGGTTGGTATGCTCATTTATACAATCAAGCATTTCTGTCAAACAAACAAATAGATAAAAGATTCTGAATACAAAAATAAAACAGGAGACCTGTTTTATTTTGTTTCAAGCTTAATGTTGTGGTTCTAATTATTTAAAACGGCATAAAAACATCTTACCTGAAATTTGTTTATGAACCAAGAGATTCAAGAGAAGTAATTACCTTCCACAACAACTCTGGCATGTCCAATGCAGGTTGTGCAATTGCAAGCTCAAAAATGGCTCTGGCTCGCTCAGTTTCACTCAAAGATCTTTCCAACTCCGCATACTTGCTCCATGCATAGCAATTTTCAGGTGACCACTCCAAATATTTTTCATATAGCTTCCGACAACGATCTATGTTACCAAGCTGCAGCTCGATCTCAATGTACTTCTTGAAAATCTGTTTGTTCATGTATATTCAACAAGGTCAAACCAAAATTCACACAGAAAAGCAACAAAAAAACTTGGATATGCAACATGAATAACTTAAGATCTCGGTCCATACCTTGTCTTTAGGAGCAATCCCAATTGCATTCCCAAGAACTGCCCGTGCACCCGAGAGATTTAACTGTCTTATTTCAAACTGAGCAGCCAACAACCAAACTTTTGCAAAGGAGAATTTCTTATGAGGAATCAGCTTTAGACACTCACTATAGACATCCCTTGTTCTAGGAATATCTTGAGCATCAAGCTCTTCATACAAAGCATAATTGATCCATAGGTAAATGTATCGTTGCCAATATCTCTTCTCCTCAGCTGGAGGAACATTGGCAATTGCTCTCTCATAAACCTCTCGTACCCTCTCTTTGTTCCCCACACTCTCCTCCAGTCTGATATAATCAAACCACGAGTCATAATTAAGGGGATTCTTTCGAACTTCCTCCTCATACTGAAACCTCCTCTTCCCAACTATTGCATCTTCTATGCCCTCTCTGTCACCATACTGCTTCTCAAAAGCCACAAACTTCCTATAAAGATCCTCGGCCCGCCCCTTTGGTATATGGTCTAGAGCAAATTTATAAATACATCTTGCTCTCTCTGTTTCTTTACACTTCTCTTCAAATTCAGCAAATGCAACAAATAAAGTCTCAGCTTCCTCATCGTCTGCCAACTTATCAACTGCCCTTTCGTAACAATTCCTGGCTCTGCCAATCTCCCCATTTTTCATCTCAAATTTGGCATAGCGAATCCAAGCACCGACTTTGGGAAGGCACTGCACAAATCTCTCATAGATAGCCCTAGCTCGCTCAATCTCATTGTACCTTAGCTCAAATTTAATATACGAAAGCCATGCTTGCTGGTCAGGCTCCCAACTCATCCACCTTTCAAATATCTGCCTAGCACCTGTAATAGGTAAATGATATCTGAATATAGATTATGCATACACTACACTGTAAAGAGCATAAGATTTAGCTAAAGGCATTGATTATAAGCTAGCTGCATGGAGCCAAACAAGTAAACTCCAACGTCTAAATTAAAAGCAATATGCTAATGTGTGCATGTGTTTGGATTGATGTATGTATTTACACGAACACAAACATAGATAAATGCTAAATGGTGGGAAAATTACAATGTCGACAGACAAAACTGAAAGGATTTATACTAGGGGGTTCGGTTTGTGAAACTACTCGCTGGTTTGTATCAATAGCAATGCCTCTGTAAGATGACAAATATAGCTTTACAATAATACACTTAATTTTAAGCATACTACATGGCAGAAGACAGAAGATTCGTATTGCTTCAAGGGAACTATCAGTCATTAAGTTGGTAAACAGAACTGCCTATTCCTTATGGCTGTTGAAATAGGCAAAGTCCCATCTCCAGCCTCAAACCAGATCCTGAACCCAAATAAATTGGGATCCCAAGCATTAAATGGAGCAAGATTTTCTGACCACGTCCTTTTTCCCTCTCTAATTCTCTTTCCTCTTTGCTTTCATTCTCGTTTATTGGGGTAATCACCCTCCGGCTGGTCCACTATTAATAAATGACCAAAGGCCATACCGTTATTCCTTTTCTCCCACAAGCAATACCATTCACATAGAGGTAGAGAAAGTGCGCCGTTCCCGACCAAAAATGCAAAATCTAGCCAAAAATATAGTGTTTCTAGACAAAAGTACTCTTGCTTGCTTTTTTAACTAAAGGTTTTTATAATAACATAAAATGGATAAATACCCCTCATCTTCATCCTTTTGATCATTATCTTGAAGAAAAAAAATCCAAAATGAAAAATCTAATAACAAGATCATCTCATTTCATTTTCATCTTCATCTTCAAATATGTATTAAAAATTATATGGATTCAAAAACAAATCTGAACTTGGCTTTAATTTAGACCCAATTACCTAAATTTGGTTTCCTAAATAGCATTTTAGGACAATCCTTAATGGAGAAGGCATTATGCACCATAGTTCTTGTGTTAATACATCCCAACAAAATGGTATTGCTGAAAGAAAATTATACATCTTCTTCTAGTCCGAGCTTTAATGTCTTTTATGCATGCTCCTAAGAAACCCCGGGGAGAGGCTATACTGTTGCTTCCTATCTAATGGATAGAATGCCAAACAAGAGTTTAAAAACCCTCATACAAACACTTCAGTTTTGTTTTCTTGAAAATATAAACTCTACTAATCTATCTACTAAAGTATTTGGTTGCATCGTGTTTGTTCACATTCATGACCACAAGATAAATAAATTTGATCCTAGAGCTACTATATATGTGTTTTTAGGATTCTCAGAAACTCAAAAAGGTTATAAATGTCTTGACTCTAGCTCGGGTAAAATACTAGTAGTAACTTGTAAGTATGGATGTTGCATTTTTTTGAAGATTAACCTTTTTCTGGGAAAACTTATCATGAAGGGGAAAATGTATGTGACGATCAATTTTGGGAACATCATGCTATGGCTACTCTTACTTTTGAAAATGTCATTAATCAAAAAATAAATGGTGATGATCATGAAACAAATGAGTTGAACCAAACTAAATAATCTAATGATGAATATGCAGGCAACAAAATTCGTACCCATAAAGATCCAAAAACTACTGTTATTGTGGCTCCAACTAGTGAATTTTGGATTTACTCAAGATTTAAAAATGGAAAGGCATTGAGCCCCCTCCAGACTAAACAATGCCTCCATTTGCGTCAAGCAAGGGTCGAGGTAATGTATGTCCAATTTCTTGTAACATTGAAAAAAAACGAATCAACCCTTACAGACCCCAAAGTGCTTGTTAAGTCAAGTTAGAGTAATCTAAATGAATCCATAGCACTCACAAAAGGAATCTGGGTATTTACTAAACACTTTTTGTCACATTATGTCTCGTGGAACAAATTGTCTCCTAGGTTTAGAGCCTTTTCCACCAATATAGCAATATAACAAATAATGAAATTCCTAGTTCTATACAAGAAGCTCTAAAAGTTCCATAGTTGAAAGTGGCAGTACTAGAAGAATGAGGGCAATAAAAAATGTGACTTAAGAGCTAACCACTTTACCTAAAAGAAGACACATTGTTGATAGCAAGTGAATATTCTGTCAAATACAAAGTTGATGGCCGGGTTGGAGAGATACAAAGATAGACCTGTAGCTAGAGGATTCACTCATACATATCGTCTAGACTATGAAGAAACATTTTCCTTAGTAGCAAAATTTAATACAATCCGACTTCTACTTCCATTAGTTGCTAATTCAGATTGGCCTCTGTTGCAATTTGATGTCAAAATGTGTTTTAAAGGGTGCTCAAGAGAAGGAAGTGTTTATACAAATACCCTCTAGAATTTCACAATGACAACATCCGGAAGACTCTGTAGGTTGAAGAAGGCCATGTACAGACTCAAATAGTTCTCATGAGCCTGGTTTGGTAGGTTCACAAAGACCATGATAGAACAGAACTACAAGCAAGCACAGTTAAATCACACCATGTTCTACAAACATAAAACAAGAGGTAAAATGGTCATCTTAATTCTTTATGTTCATATTTTAATGACAAGAAGTGATAAATAGAACTAGCCAACTTGAAAAACATTCTTAACAATTCAAATTAAAAAAATTGGGAAATCTCAAGTATTTCCAGGGAATGGAAGTGGCAAGATCATCAAAAGCAATTGTTCTCTCTCATAGAAGTGCATGTTGGATCTACTAAAAAGATTAGGCCTTCTTGGTTGCAAGCCTATATCCACACCCATTGATCCAAATCACAAATTAGAAAGGGAGCTAAAGAGATCCCTGCCAACAAAACCAAATACCAAAAGCAAGTTGGTAAACTAATCTTCTAGCTCACAGGTGTCCTGAGATTGTGTATGCAGTAGGACTGGTAAGTCAGTTCATGCATAGTCCTTCAAAAGATCATCTCAAGTCAATGAACAAGATCTTTCACTGCCTCAAAAGGAGCGTTGGCAAATGAATTCTCTTCTCCAAATATCAGAACAGGCAGGTAGATCTCTTTACAGATCCCGCTTGGGCAGCATGTGCAGAAAACAGAAGACCTACATCAGCCTATTGTACATTTGTGTGGGAAAATTTAGTAACATGGAGAAGTAAGAAGCAGCAAGTGATGGTCAAAGTAGTGCAAAAGCTGAATTCAGGGTAGGAGTTCTTGTATGCCTATTTATTGGGAACTAATGAATCAAAGAAAGATGGACTGTCTCAATTACTTCTGCATTTGCAACGATTAGTCATTGATAAGTTCCAATGCTGGCAGTTATCGTTTACCATGAATTTTGTGTAAAAAAGCTAGCTACTTCTACATCATGGTCTTCTGATGTCAATGTGTCATCTTGTTTTATAACTCCTTTTCCATTTCGTATATTAAATATTTCAATTTTAATACTTATACACCCCATTCATAAGACACATGACAAGCTAAGGTTTGATAGAACAACCTTCAGACTTGCCAAGTATTTTCAATTCTTTTATCTTTGTGAAAACTATAAACCAAACGTAATGATAACTTTACCAGGATATGAACCTAATAAGCATTATGATATCAAGTAAAGTCATAAACATGATTCATGTACCTGCAACATTGCCAAGCATTTCCTCCATATGAATATACTTATACCACAACTGATCCACTCTCGGCAACAAAGTAACCGCCCGATCCCACACATTCCTCGCATGGTTGATGAACTTATTCTTCATCTCAACATCAGCGTATTTCAACCACATTGTATGATCTCTATAATCGACATCAAGAGCTCGTTCCCATACCGACCTAGCTCGATTAAAATCCTTCTGTGACTCCTCCCACTTGGCATACTTCACCCAGACACTCTTGTTCCACCTCACTCTCCGAATTAGGTCTTCGAATTCCTTGCGTTTACGGAGCCGATAGTCTGCGAGCTCTGTGGAGTCGGTGATTTTCTGCTTCGGTGGTCGGATTTCAGCTTCTTGGCGTTCTCGTGCTTCCCGCAGAATCTGTTCGGCTGTGATTTGGATAGGAGCAGGGGTTTTGTTCTTCACCCTAGTTGGTCGGGGAAGCTTAACCTCGGTTTCCTTACGAGTCAAATAACCTAACGCAGGATCTCCCTCTCGGGATGCCATGATTTGATTCGAGGTTTTTACAGAGACAAGAAAAGATCTGAATCAATTTGAACGATCGAGTATGGGGTTGAAGGCCTGAATTTGGGGTACAGGAAGGGAGTTGTCGTATAGTCGGCGGAGCTCCTCCGTCGTAGGCAAATCGTAAACGGATATTGGGGGGGGGAGGGAGGGCTTGTAACTCTAAAAAAAGAAAACCCTAGTCGGGTATGGATAAGCCTTTGATACGAGGAAATTTAAAAATTAGGAAGCCTTTGATTCGCAGATGTTTTTTAATGAATATAATTTGTCAAAGAAAATTGATTTTGAAAAAATTGAAGTTATTATATTTGACCATGTTTACTTGATAGGTATCTGAATGAAATTTGTCAAAAGAATTGAAAAATCTGTAAGTTTGGTATATATAATTTTTGAATTTGAAAGAAACAATAGTAAATGTCCTTCTCCAAAACATTTAAATTGAAATCCAACTATGATGGTTAAGATCGATGGTGAGCGGTGGTGGTCGGTGGCAATTCAGATCGGTGATGGTCGACAATGGTACAGATCGGTGGTGTCCGATGGTGGTTCAGATTGATGGTCGTTGACAGTAGTTCAGATTGGTGATGGTTGGCGGTGGTCCAGGCTGCTGGTGGTTGGCGGTGGTTCAGATCAGTGATGCCCGACGGTTGTTCCAGATCAATGGTGGTCGGCGATTATTCAGATCGATAGTGGCCGACGGTGGTTCAGATCGGTGGTGGTCGACGTTGGTTGGCGATAGCTCAGATTGGTGGTGGTCAACGATGGTCGGATCAATTAGGGAAGATGGGACAGTTTTATCTTTTTAAGAAAATAGGATGACCAAATCCATAAATAGTGGAACATGTGAAATTCAATTTCATTTCATAGGTAAACCAAACACCTGAATGGAATTTGATCAATGAAATTGATCATTTCAAATTATTCGAATTTTGTCGAAATCCTGCAAACCAAACGCTCCTCAAGATGTTAAAGGGTATCTATAACAAATTCTTCAAAACATGGAAAATCTAAACATCTAGAAAATTTATATTCATTTTTAATAAAAAAAAATCTACTTTGAAAATTGCGATACAAATTATAATATTAAAATATTAAATATCTTTTCTATACATTTAACTTCAAAGATCTTTATTAATAGGAAAAATAGAAAATAATTAGAGAATTTCACCTTCTTTCTCCATTTTGGAGAAGGTTTTCAAAAATTTGTTGAGCAAAATTCTCAAAATCTTCATTTTGGAGATTTTTTTTTTATTAACTTAGATATCCAACCCACTATGCGAGCTGACTAATCTCAAGGCAACCACCTGCTTTGCAGATAGCTCGGGCTCACCGTATTTGAACCTCTATGGCCACAAGGGGACTTTTATTCCTCATTGTATTTGAACTTGCGACCTTCAGGTACTTCATTTTGGAGAATTTATTAGAGATGCTTTAAACAAGTTTTAAATAAATTTAGAGTGAATTGTGGATTTGTCCATTGTGTTTTGATATTTTATGTAACTAGGGTCCTATGATATGTTTATTACGGATTTTTCGCGTAGTATTCAATTTGTTTTGGACATGGTCTCTCTGACTAACGTCTCGGCTAACTCCGTTAAATCAAGGGTCATTTTAACTTTTTTGCTTATTCTTTTATTTTTTTCTATAAAAAAGTAAAAACAATATATATATATATATATATATAATTATATCAACTCAAATAAAATAAGATATTATTTTATAATTTGATTTGTTTAAATTAAAAAACTAATTATATTAAATAC